AGGACGAAAAATTTGTCTCAGATAAATAATTTCTTTGGAACGAAAAATTCGTCTATGACGAACAATTCAACTACGACAAAAGATTCGTCTAAGACGAAAACTTCGTCTAAGACAATAAATTCGTCTAAGACGAATAGCTCGACCAACACGAATAATAAGTCTAAGACAAATAATTTCTCTTAGATGAAAAATTCGTCTAAGACTAATAATTCGTCCAAAACCAAAAATTCGTCTAACACAAAATATTCGTTTAAGACGAATAATTCGTCGAAGGCTAATAATTTCTCTAAGACGAAAAATTCGTCTAAAATGAATAATTCTTCTAGCGGCGACTGGGCCGATGTGCCGTCAAGGATAGGCGCGTGTTGACAAACTCCGCAGAAACTTGACCAAAAAGCCGTTTGTTTGTGTGTAAGCTTCCCTTTCAAGAAGGATAGCGACCGATGGGTATTTAAGATAAGGGAAAAAAGGGCCAAAGAGTGAGCAGCTCATTCGCCAAGGCCAAGACAAACGCAGAAGCGACTCATTCTCAAGATGACGCACTCTCCTCGCTAACGGTTACTTAATACCAAGTCCTAATAGCAAAGATCACCAGCTTAGAAGACAAATACAAAGCAAGCGATAGTCGAATCTTGAACCTGGAAGCACGACTAAATGAAGCCCAGGCGGAAATAGACTCTTCTCAAAAAGCAGCTAGGTGAAACCCTCAAAGCTGTTGAGGAGACGAAAGAATCACTCGAGTGCACTCAAGGGGAACACAGTGACTTGGCCGACCGTGTTACAATGTGTGACTCAGAGTAGTCTGCCCAATGGAGCGAGATTACTCATCAAAGCATTTCCAACCGACGCTGGAACCTGATCTTCTACCGTATAATGGAATCTCCTGAAGAAAACTGCGCAGCACTAGTAAAGAATGTTTTGATGTAGCAATTGCACTTACCGGCAGAAATTGTGCATTCCATGAAGTTCTGCCGCGACCACCGCCTTGGTAAACAAAACGCCAGTAAAACTAGGCCTCTCATTGTGCGCTTTACTTGTCGTTTCGACAGAGAGCTTGTGTGGAAAAATCGTTTTCATTTGAAAGATTCCCCATTTGCAGTCGGAGAGGAGTTTCCAAAACAGATTCAAGGTATCAGAAAAAAAGTGTTAGTTCCAGCTATGCAAAAGATCAAGAGAGAAAACCCTCGTGCTAAAGCCTCCGTCATTGGACACAGGCTCGTTGTCAACGGCAAAAGGTATTTTCACTACGACGTTCCAAAAGAATGGCTGCCAACCATAAAACCTACTGTAAATGGTTCAAGTGTCAATACGCAGCCCCAGAAAGACGACGGGCACGAAGAAGCATACTGTCAAGTTCCACCTTCGACCCACTAGGCATGAGACATTTCTTAGTCAGAACCGTCTTTGTGTGTAAAACATTGTAAATCTGAGTTATCGAGTTTTCGCTTTTTAGCTCCAAATGTACAAGAATTACTAGTCATGAGAATTGTTAAGCGGTAGCGTTAATCGTATCAATACTTTTTTCTATGATGCAGCTCAGCGCAGAACGCTGAATGTGTTGTGCCATGTATTACCCGCTTTTTTACGTCGTCCACTGTGTTTTTTTTGTTTTTTTTTTGGTTGTTTGTTGTCGTTATTTGTTTTTTGTTTTTTTCTGTTTTGGCTTGCTTTCACCAAAAGTATGCTAATTTCGCCAATTCTACATTTAATTAGGCGTAAAGATAGCTCCCAAAGTCTCGTGCCAACGCATTCCAGAACGCTGTTTCTTTACCCAACACAACGACTTCACACCCGAGTCTGAACATTAAAATTCAGTCACTAAATGTGAAAGGGCTAGGTAAATCATTTAAGCGGCCATAACCTTCCGATGGCTGCATAACCAGAAACATCAATTTGCGTTTTTACAAGAGATGCACAGCACTAAAGAATGCACTCAATTCTGGGAAGCAGAGTGGGGCGGGAAAGCCTTTTTCAGTCACAGCTCTTCAAATAGTAAAAGGGTTATGATACTTGTTAACCCAAATCTAGAGTTAAAAGTTGAAAAATGCATCACCGACAAAAATGTAAGATATATCCTACTTGACTTAATGGTCGACGAGTCCTACATTAAACTTGTTAGTATTTATGCACCGAATAACGTTAATCAACAGTTAACCTTCTTTAAAGATCTCCAAAACCTACTTGCAGAATTCGCGCAAGGAAATATTGTTGTTGCAGGAGACTTCAACTTCGCCCTGATGGAAATGGACAAGAAGAGACGAAACTCGATTTTGAAAAAAGCTCGCGTTATTCAGGAAATCGAACGCCTTATCGACCTGTATGACTTATCCGACATTTGGCGTTGTCGCAACCCGGACACAGAACGATTTACGTGGAGAAACAAGTCTCGCAAAATTCAAGTTCGGCTAGACTTTTTCCTAATTTCAAATAACCTTTCCACAGGCGTGCAATCCTGCACCATAANACCTGTATGACTTATCCGACATTTGGCGTTGTCGCAACCCGGACACAGAACGATTTACGTGGAAAAACAAGTCTCGCAAAACTCAGTTTCGGCTAGACTTTTTCCTAATTTCAAATGAGCTTTCCATAGACGTGCAATCCTGCAGCATTCTCAATGCGCCTGAATCAGATCACTCAGCCATCACGCTACACTTAAAATCCTAAACCCTGTTGCATCCTAAAGGACCCGGCTTCTGGAAATGCAACAACTTTCTACTGGAAGATTGCGAATATGTTGACAAACTTCGTGAAGAAATTCCACTTTTTTAAGAACAAGTCTTCAGACGTCCAAAATTCAAGTCTAAAATGGGACCTGGTTTTACAATCAAATTCTCAAAAATTAAAGCCAAACGACGAAGAAATGAACAAACTGGGCGACAAAGAGCTTTTAAAGGAAATTTACGCCAGCAATCTAAGCTTATGAGCACTAATCCGTCAAAAGACAAAAGGAGCAATCCTCAAAAGCAGAGCCAGGTGGCAAGAGCAAGGCGAGCACAATACAAAGTA